TTCAATATTGAAAAACTGATTGTGGCAAAACCGTGATTCAATGTTGATATAAAGTGAAACATTGAAGATCAACGTTGTTCCAACCTTTTTGTCTGATATGGAATCAATGTCATTTCACCATAGGCCTATGTATGCTATCTGGGGAGTTATGGCTGTCTGGTGGCCAGAAATGATTAATTTTTGCAAATAAATTGCGGATTTAAATTAGGTAAATAGAATGGCGCCGTAGTTTATAGCCTACTTTGGTGAAATACTACGCAAGGATGGGTATTTTGAGATATGTGAATGGTGGGGACATGGCCGCGGTCCATCTAGCATAGCGGCTCATTATAACGATTTATGTCCCGAAAGGATCAATAGGCTAATACAGGTTTCACCTGCCTTTAACGGACTCGAAATAAAACATTTAACAACAAACGTTTATTAGTAACGTCACTGTATGGATACATTAATAATAGGTGACATACATCTTCCGTAAAATCCTTCTTCGGGGTTTAACAACTCTTTCGCCATACTCACAGCTTTCATAAAACTCGTGAAATTACCTACAGGTGTCTTTTATCTTATTTCGCATGTTAAATCTTGCTTTAGAAACATTAACGATGTCCTGATATTCGGCGATAAAAGAAGTTCAGCGAGAAGCGCCGATAAACGGGATATCGTATATGTATTAATAATATTTTTTAGTTGTAAACCGTTTTAACATTTGATAAAAATCAACGTCAGCAAGAAATCTAGCAGTGCAATATGAAGCTAATGTTGCATAAATGCCAAACCGTTCGTTGTTCCAAGAAATCTGTCATTCAGTATATAATTCTCACATATACTCAATTTAACTGAATGAATGAAAACTTTTTTCCCCTAATTAATAGTGTGGTTTTCTCCCTTGAGATCAAAGACTTATTTTAAAGAATTCTATTATAGAGGGAAAACCAAGAAGCCGGAGAAGGTGGAGTACTTCCATCCACCCATGAGGTTTCCCCTCTCCAGCTTCAGGTACAGACTGTCATCCCTCTCCAGATGCAGAAGTACTCCGTTGCTGGCCGCCTCACGCGTAACATCCTGGTCTCCGGCGAAGGCAGATATCACTGGGTATTCATTCTGCATAAGGTTTACCTGAGCAACGGAAGAAAACGGGTAATAGCTGGAAATTAAACACAGATATTTCACGTCATTGCATGTCAACAGCCCTGCAGCAATCGAAGCACCAAACTCTGACGACACCTTCTTGGCGGGTTTACCTGTATAGTCTGCCTGTTGTAGACTTTCACCACGTGAAAATTAAAACTGTAAATCCCTCTTCTCGGTGCTTGAAATACGCTCGATTTAAAATGAAAATGATTGCCGACGTTAACCAAAATCTGCAAAACAACAAATGCACTTTGAGTTTAAACATTTTCAGAACCACATTCAATAAGAACAAAACGGACTTTAAAGAAGCTTTCGGGTTTTACATGTGTGTTTTCAACCGGCGTGGGACTTTCTGACGTGTTTTTGACATAGCCTACACGAGATTATTGTGCTCTGAAAATTTAAATGGGGTATCTGTGTGATCCAAAATACATGAGCATATGCAAGTGTAGCAGTACGTACACCTGACCTGGTCGAAGTAAATGGTCATGGATTTATTGCTCATTTCAGATGGTTCGTGATTCGTTCCTCTAACAGCGGAGAAAGCGACTTTGGCGCTGCCTGACCGGACCGTTATTCCCAGCGAATCGGTGACCCCTCCTTCTGCAGACGGGTTAGAGTCGCAAACCACCAAGCACTTTCCTTCCAGCAACACCGCTTCCGTGTCATTTTGCCCAGTGGAAAGAGCAGAGCCACATCCAAGAAGAATAATCAAAGCCAGCCGTATCAGGCTCAGTATCCGAAAGACACTGGGCATCTCCAGCTATTGCAGTGAGTCTGTATTCCTACTGAAACAAACCTTTTTCACGATAACAAGTCCGCCCCTATTGGAGTTAGTCTGTCTTCTGGCGCTGTTTATATAAAACCTGTTAATTGAAACAACATTAGAACATTGGAAATTTTTTATTTAACTGCGCGGCATTTTTTTTTGTTTCAAGATAGAAGCAAACATTGTATTAATAATTGTAACGTATAATAAAGGAATTCAAAAATTTCGTCAGGTTCCCTTATGTAGCAATTAATATCTCAGATTTTGGTTGATCGAAGTGAAAAATGTAACGTTTAATTTAATAACGGCTTATGCGTAACATGCTGGTCAGTGTACGAGGTTTGAATAATAGGGTCATGAAACGTATACAGTATTTTCATTCAGAACTGCCATACAGAATAGTTCATAAAAACTATCATTATTATAGTAAGCGCTTCTCAATTACCTAATCTTATCACAAGTTTAGCAAATTTGTACAATATAAAATAAATCAGAAAAGAGTATAAGCATAATTATCCGGAATAAGGTTTACCTGTTAAAGTCATGCCTGTGGTACGGAGGCTGATTCTTAAAGCGCAATCATCTCTAAAGTACCTGAAAGTGGAAAGTGTGGAGTGACAGAAAAGCGGATCGCACCCAACCCCCCGCCCCTCCCTTTTATTAAAGCGCTCCCATTTAATCACGCTTCGTTACAGCTCATATGGAGACTAAAGTAAGCATCTGCCTGTAATCTGTATCAAGTATTTTCTTTCTTAGAAAGCAAATGGAAGTGGTTTACTTGGTTCGGTAACCTTCATGTTGTTTTTGGTCGTTGAGAGAAAAGATTTAACGACCTAGGAAATACTTGGGCAAACCCGGCCAAGTAGACAAATTTAAATGGAAGCGAAACACATGTAATGGACAGCGAGGTGGACTGGAATCCGATTTACTGCCGCGAAATCGCCTCAATAATGAAAACCTGAATCACAAAATCCAGGTTGGTGGGTGTCCAGAAACATATTGTCGTCGTGGACGGAACATTTCAAAATTATTCAATGAGGGGAAAAAAACCGAGCCCACCTATGTACCGAAGGGTGATGCGTTTTTCTGCCAAAGAAAGACAATGTTAAGTTTCAGCCTCCAATAGTCAAAACATTAAAACTGTTAACATTAGTTGTTTTACTTGTAAAATATAATAACTTGTAATAATCTGAACATTGATGATAAGGTAATTTTCACATAATGAAATGTATGTTGGTGCCCCGACCGGGGTTATACCTGCCTTGCGTCCATAGCCGACCCAGTCCTGGCCGGACTACAGTCCTGGATGTAGAGACAGTACAGGAGGGGGCTCAGCACACAGCCCTGTGGGGATCCGGTGTTCAGTGTGCGAATGGAGGAGAGGTGGGGGCCGAGTCTCACAGTCTGGAGCCGGTTGGTAAGAAAGTCCTTTATCCAGACACATGTGAAGGGGGGGCTGAGAGTGACCAGTTTGGTGATGAGAATGTCAGGGATGATTGTATTAAACGCCGAGCTATAATCCACAAAGAGCATCCGGACGTAGCTCTGCTGCCGCTCCAAATGGCTTAGCACAGAGTGGAGAGCTACGGCGACGGCATCTTCTGTGGATCTGTTAGCACGATATGCGAACTGGTAGGGATCAAAGTCTTGGGGGAGACGGTCCTTGATGTGCTGGAGAACCAGTCTCTCAAAGCACTTCATGATTACTGGAGTGAGGGCTACAGAGCGATAATCGTTTAGGCTGGTGATGGGAGTCTTCTTCGGCACTGGTATGATAGTGGCTGATTTTAGGCAGGAAGGAATGACTGCCTGGGCTAGGGAGAGGTTGAAGATTTTGGTGAAGATGAGGGTGAGCTGGTGGGCACACGCTCTGAGCACCCTACCAGGGACTCCATCTGGGCCGGCAGCCTTCTTGGGGTTCACTG